CACCTCCCATTGGTCCCATGGGCTGCCTCATTCTTCCCCTAGAACCCTTCTGCTCCACACGGCCAATGGCTGACCTATGGCCTATCTGTTGGCTCCCCTCCATGACATCCTGAGTACTTCTCAAAACCACAACAGCACTTAAATTTTTCTTGGGGTTGATTTGTGTGTGTGTGTGTGTGTGTGTGTGTGTGTGTGTGTATCTCTGTATGTATTTGTGTATGTGTTAATAAGGGAGTTAGCAAAGATACCATGCAAAACCTGTGTGACAATGATTATGTGTACAGACACTGAAGACTGTCAAGTCTTATTGGAGAATGGACCCTATTTTATTCTATAATGTCATTTCTTGCAGTCTGTTAACATGATAGTCCTGTAGTCTCCACATGTTCTTCCAGAATCTGTTTAGTATACTTGTCTCCTGCTTTCTGCGTATCTGTCTTTTCCAGTGTGTGTGTGTCTCCACTTGGAGTGTATACTAATCACACCTCCCCTCACCCAAATAAACTGTAGAGTCTTCTACCATGCAGAATGGAGGTCTTAGCCACAGTGTAGGGGACATGACAGAGCTTTCAACCAGAGAAGAAATGCTACGGGCTTAGGAGTTTTGTAGTTAGTGGTGGGATCAGGGAAAGATTGTGAGGCTTGGATCTTACCCTGGCACCAAGACAGGAAGTGCCCAGGCCTTCTAATCACACTCACCAGATATGGAGCCAGAGGAGAAGGAAACAGGTGAGGCTTAAAAACCACCAGGAATCAGAGGTCACAAAGTGGAGTCAGACTCTGTGTTGCTCAGCACACAATTGGGTTTTGGGTTTTAAATTTGGTCTGGAGATCATTGTTAACTAATATGTCTAAAGATTTTTTATTTAGCAAAATTATTCACAAGGTGAATTCACATAATTACTTTCTGGAACATTAATTTATTCCTGGCTTGATTTTCCATATAAGCTTTTTTGAGAGTGACAAATTCATTTTATCTCCAACACTCAATTAACATGAAAATCTCTTCTTAATAGAGGTTATTTTGTTGTTGTTGTTTGTTTGTTTTGTATCTTATGCCAGACACTGTTAAAAAATTTTTAGGAATTGCCCTTTCTTATATAATATTCATATGTTGCTATATTATGTATTGTATCTTCAAGTGGCATTGTACCAATTACATGAAGCTGAATAATTGTCTGTTACTGTAAATTATTCTCTCCCATCTTCCTCCTACTCTTCCCGGTCCTTCCAGCCTGTTCTCTTGCCTCTCACAGAGGGTCTCTCTCAGTACTTTCACTTTTCACTACAGGAAAATTTCTGGTAGATGGTACCTTTTATCTGTTGATGAAGTGGCAGGTTCTGGAAGCAGTCTCTGTAGCTCTGATCTAATCCTAACCTTAGTGAGACATCATGTTTGCAGTCTTGGAATTAGGGTCTTCTCAGTTATCCTGCCTCTCCCAGGTACTGAAAGATTCCTAGTGCTTTCACTCAGGACTGTGCACTGCACTCCACTTAGGGAAGTAGAACATCACAGCTCTGTTTGCCTGGCCTCAATGGGTCTTCACAAGAGCCCTGGTTATAGAGGCTCCCATGCTATTTTTGGGTAGATAATTTGGGGTAGTAAGATTTTGTATCTTTATGTAAAAGAGTTTGTGCAGTATTGTGTGCCTGAACCCTCAGAGACAGGTTTTGCCCAGCCTTGTTATCTGCTGTCAATCTTACTCAGGAACACCTTGCTGACCTCCATGGATAAGTCTGTGATGCTTGTAAAGTCCCCTGGGTTTGTGCTTCTCAGAAAATTTATTGTCCTACACTTGCCCACATGTGGTTTTTGGCATGACAATGTGACAATGTTGTCTACTTAGAGGTGAATCATGAGGTAATAATCATATCCTATCTCTCCTTCAATCACCTGTCTTCCCTCACATTCGAGCAAACATTCCACAAATCTTCCCCTGAACAGATGTCTTTCTATGTCAGCATCTCTCTTCATCCTCTTAACATCCCACCCATGAGGATAGATTCATCTTCAGCCCAAAACACAACTCCTGATTTGATTTCTAAAAGGAAATTTATTTTCAAGCTGGGATACAAATATCCCCATTGTATAGTTGTGCAGTTTCCTCTGTAAGATTTATCTTTGGTGAATAGCCATCCTTTGTGGAATAGCTCCATCTTTGATTCTCTGGTCCAGAGGCTGGCAGGACCTCCCATTCATTTATGTTCAGTGTGTTCTGTGTGTTCAGGATGTTCAGTCTGAGGTGGATTGTTAACTAGGAGCTCATTCCAGAAAGCCACTTCCTCCCCTTTCAGTCTCTGGGCTTGCTGGGTGGTGGCACCAATCTGCAGATAACCTTCCATCTGATCATACTCTGGCCAGTGTGGCAGTCCCTCCCCATTAGGGTTCCTGGGAACAGAATAAAATAGAATTCCTCATTACTGCTCTGTGGCCCTCCTTCTCTGTGAGGTCTGAATGCATGCATGGTTTATCTCAGCAGAGAGCCTGACCACCTCTGTATAGAGCTTCCATCTTTTGAAACATCTCATTAGATTCTAAAAACTATAGGACAATAATGTTAGAGAGAAGGTCCGAGATTCTATAACTCAGACTTCAGAAGTCATCTCTCCTGCAAGATATGTCTAGCCACACCCAATCTACCCTTTTCATCTTTGCCACAAGCCTCACCCATTTCGAGCAAAGTTGGCCCAGAATTTCATCACCATCTTGCTGAGGTTGGTCTCCTCTTCTGATGCACCCTCTGCAGGGAAGGGAAAAAAATGGATTGCTGCTGGAAGTGTGAACCAGATGTAGCTTCATCTAGGAGGTTGTCAGAAAGTTATAAAGAGATGTTCACATTTTAACCACTCTGTCAAAAGCTCCAATGTGAGAAGACCCTGGCTAATCATTGTGCATATTTGGGGACCAAATGAGTGACTGATCTATGACCAGCAGTGGGAATGTGAGCATGCACCATGGGTCTCCTTTGTTGTCCATGTTCATCGGCCTTCCCTTCCTTCCTTGGGGTCAAAAATGTCATATCCCGAATGCACTTCATTTTGGAGATTTGCTTTTGAGTCATTGACACACATTATTATTATTAATAGACAATAAAAGATATGAGAACTACAAACAACTAAGAAGTATTCCAGCTAGCAAATTCCCATAAGGATCCGTGAGCTGGGGTCATAAGCTTATGCAAATCATAAGGGTTAAGACACTAAATACATCTGTGGAAAGATTTTTTTAAATAACAAATTATTAGGCTGGAGAGATGGCTAGTGTGTCAAGGCATTTGCCATAATTTAAATGTGAGAATCTGAGCTGTACTACTGGGATTTGCAGTAGAAGGTAAAGAACTACTCCTACAAATTGTTCTCTGATCTCCATGAGCATGGGTGTGCACATAATCACACGCACACATACATACACCTACACACATATAAATATACACACATATACATAAACACAGACACTCACACATGCACTTACATACACACACATAGACACATGTACACACCACACATAAAGGCCCATGCTTACATGTAGGCACACACACAAAAACTTAAATATCATGTTATGAACTATATCATAGATCTCCTGTGAAGATGCCAGCCACTCTTTCAGGGAAATGGAAGTAGAATAGACAGTTATGCAGAGATGAGGGTAAGGAGAAGGGTGGGAATAAAATGATCAAGTGAAGAGATTGGAGTTAGAGGAGGTGACGAAGGTAATGTCGTGAGAGACAGTTAAATTAAGGACCATTTGAAATGTAGTATGGAAACCTAGTACAGTAGAAGCTCCCTTAAATGTGTGCATATATGAAGCCAATCTAAATAAAATTGAAGCCAAGTAAGGACAGAGTCAAAATCCCAACTGGGCATCTCTTGTCACTAAAAGAAGCTTCCAGTATCAGGATTGGGTTACATCTAATTGAGATGTTGTCCAAAGAGGTCTCATGGGAAACCCAAAACAACCCAGTCTCTTGTCCAGACTCTAGGTTGCTCTCCACAGGTTAATGGGATGCCCCATTGCTGAAGACAATAGCCATACAACTCATTGACCATGGAGATGTCAAGGTAGCGCCTACTGAGTTCCTTAACCCATCCACTCTAGTGTCTTTGGTACAGGAAGGTGTTCTGATGTTCCCAAAAGAGCAACACAAACCCCAAGTGAGTTACAAACCCTTTGATCAACAATGATGTCATATATGCCAGATGGTACAAAGCTTGTGGGAGCAAGCAACCAATATCTGATTTGATGTAAGGTCCACTCCATAAGATGATAGAACCCACACCTGTCACTGATTGAATGAAGAAGAACCTGAGACTAGATAGCCCAAGGCCCTGGGCAAAGGCAAATACTTCTGTGCTAAAAAAAATGTTGAAAAATAAATAAAATTTAAAATATAGTAATAGAAACCTTCCTAATGATGGTCTGCCATACTCTTAGACCAGTTTCTTGCACAGCCACCATCAAAGAAGCTTCCTCCAGCAGAAGATTGGAACATGTACAGGGACCCACACCCAGACATTAAGCAGAGAATGTTCTGGAATATTAAATGGGTAGGCTCCAATAAATCCCTCTCCTTAGGATTCAGGGAACACTTCTGAGGAGGAGATGGAAAGAATATAAGAGTCATAAGGCATGGAGGGCACTAAGGAAAGAAGACCCTCTAATCAACAAAATGGACACACATGTGAACTCTCAGAGACTGAGGCAGCATGCACAGAGCCTTCACATGTCTCCACCAAATGGTGGCCTAGAGCTGAAAAAGCGGACACATGCCCCCATCCCTAATCCAGTAGCCATATTTAATTGATAACCATTTGCAAATGAAAATTTAATTTCCTCCAAGGGAGTCTAACAGAGGAAACAAACTTCTTTTAAGGTTGGGCAGCATACAGGAGATGGCCAATATAAAACAAACTCAATGACATCTCTGGAGGTTCCTTGTCTTCTAATGACATTTTAGGGCTCCTCCTTTATTTAAGAAACAACATTTTACTTTTATTTTAACTTAATTTTATTGATATGTATTTTTTGCTTTTTCTTTCATTTTACAGATCCTTTGCATACATATTATGGCTTTCAGGTCACTCTTTTAATGGGATTCTTGAGTGTGCAAGTGAGAAGACCTCAGTTTCTTGTGCATTCTCTTGGGCTCTTTTCCTTCTGCTTGTTTTGTCCTTTTCCAATGTGTTAGTTTTTATTATACTTATTTTATTATTATTCCTTAGAGGCCTATTGGTTTTCTAATGAGAGACAGAAAGGGGGTGAAGCCACATGGCAGAAGAGGTGTGAAGGACCCGGGAGGATTGACAGAGGGGAAACTGAAATCAGGATATAGTATGGGAGGAAAAAAGTCTATATTCAATAAAAAAGAACATAGACACCACATATAAGGCATATATTTAGGTAGAGAGATATATAGGTCATGTTACATTTCAAGGTTTTGTGGGAAATTAAATTGTGCTAATCTGGATCTAGATCAGTGCCTTGTGCATGATCCACCACTTCTCTTATTGATACCTCAGGTGATCATTCTTAGAATGATTATGGCTGGGTCCACATGACCTATCTTTATGTGTGATAGAACAGGAGAATGTTTGGGGACTACCTAATGGAGCTCAGTTCTGCTATAGAATGCCAGGAAACTAGCATTAGGAGAAAAGGAGAAACTTGCTGAAGACCCCCAAACCAAGACTAGAGAACCCAGTCCTCCTGACTCCCAGAGGACACCTGGGCAAGAACCAATACCTTTTAAAAATGGAGTCCCAAATACAGAGAAGATTTCATCTCCATGGTCTCCCTGAATAGTCTGGGGTCTCTGGTCAGACACGAAGCTTGGGCGATACTGAAACTCATACATGTAGGTGGGCACTCCAGCATCTGAGGAGACATGGATTTATGTACAGTACATGTTAGCAAACACAGTCCTGAGTGGCACTGAGGTCTCCATACCTGAAGAAGGTAGTTGGTTACTAGTATAGGACAGAATCAGCTTTTGGAAAGCCTGGTGACTGTTCGTTTTGCACAGCTGGTTGAGGTAGACCTGGGATCTGAGGCAGATGTTTATGGAATGCAGAATGAGTGGGTGCAATGCAGGCAGTGAGCACTTGGATGTGTTCAGTGATGATCCATGGTGTCCGGTCCTTCTGAGAAGATCTGCGCCTGCTCATACTCATCCTGGTTTTAAGCATCCCCAGTGCTAAGATGTCTTTCAGAAATGAGGGAGGAATATCAAAACCCCCAGAGAAAATCTTGTGGAGCTCGTTGTTCCTGCTGCTGCCTGTGAGCACTTGCTAGGTTTCTTTAAACTGAAAGATAAGTATACTGATGAATAACATGGGTGTCAGTGGAGTAAAGTTGTGAACCCTTGTTCAGATCGCTGTGAGACGGTAATCTTCATTTGTAGGGGATTTTTTCCTTCAGTAGCACATAGGTTCTGTACAAAAATCCTGCAAAAAATTAGTGTTAAAATTCTCATTCAAAATTATATAAATTTGTGACAGACAGACAAACAGACACACACACACACACAAACATTAAAATAAAAAGCTGTGCTGGAGAGATGACTCCGTGATTAAAAGAACTGAATACTCTTCCAGAGGACCTGAGTTCAGTTCTCAGCACACACACAGCAACTTACAATAATCTCTTAACCGAAATTCCAGGATCTGATGACCTCTTCTGGCCTTTGTCAGCAGCAGACACAACTTACGGTGCACAGACATATATAGGCAAATATATTCATACACACAAAATAAAAATATTTTTAAATGAAAAAATAGATAAAATTGTACAATTGTTATAAGAAATCAAATTATATTGTCATCAACTTTAAGCAGGTTCTATGCGTGTGTACAACAAGATGTACATTCTTTCTGAGTGCTCACAGCCCATTTGCTGGAATATATCTTGCACAAGCACAAGAGAATCTTGCCTAATTTAGGAAGAACTTTGTGTAGCCTCCACTCTGTCTATGCAGGCCTGAGTCAGTGATGGACAATCCTGTGACAGATCCAAAACCAGTTTTCACCTTCTGTAACCAGTGCACACCAAGATGGATAAAGGCATGCCAAGGAAATTGAAGGTCTCTACACTTCCTCTGCCCATACTTCTTTCTACACTCTTTTTCTGGACTTTCTCATCTGAAAGAGGCTCTTTTGACCCTTAATTCTGTTCCTGACCTTGGATTTTTATTCTTTTTGTTTGTTGGTTTTTGGAAGAAAATACTTCACGTAAAACAGTCTGGAATTGAACACCCTATGTAGCAAAAGAAGATCTAGTCTTCTCTTCTCAGCTCCTAAGTGATGAAATTACAAACTTGTCCTGCTACTTCTGACTTATAAGGTTATTCAGGATTGAATGCAGGGTATCCTACATTCCAGTCAGACACTCTATCAACTGAGCTAAATCCCTAACCTCCTGTTCTATATATGTATATCCATGTATATAAACACACACACACACGCACACGCACACGCACACAAACTCCCACAGGCACACACACACAAACACACACACCTCTGCTGAGAAGTGGGTAAATCAGAGACATGTTATTGAGTTCATATCCTCCAATTTAACATACAAGACTCACCTCTGAGGCTACGGGAAAAAGTCACAGATGGGATACACAAAAATATATCTCCCAACATGTCCAGAAGAAGGTCTCCCTTTTTGGAAGGGTCAACGGTTCCCTTTAAGTACTTCTCAATGATTGCTGGAATCATACTCTCAGCGATGTTCTAAAATAGATCAGAAAATGACCACACTCACCTGGAATCAATGAGGCTTCTGCAGTTAAGATGAGGTCATGACTCCTGGACCAATAGGGCTTTGTACCAAACCAGCTTGCTACAATAGGGAAGATTTTCTACATCTACCTGCAGTATGTCGTTATGTTTGGAGGTCAGGTGTCTGATAATTATGTTCTTTCATTTGCTGTGTTGGGAGAGACCCCTTTGCCTCATACCACCTGATAGCACAGAAACAGTTGTCTAGTGAATCATATGGGAAGTTGTCTCAAGTAGAAGTAAATATTCAGTATCTTCCCCTGTTCTATACGGGAATGATACCTTTTGTACCCTAGCAAATAGAATGCACTATATCTAGGGAATGAAAGAAAAAAAGATTCGTGAGATTTGCTAGTCAGCAAATATTTTGTTTTAGATGTACAGAGTCCAGAATATCTGTTCAGTGATCTACTGATAACAATCTCATGCATCAGAAAAACAGGGAACCTACAACTTGTAAATGTTAGAGTGCCTACCTATCTGATATACCTCCTTGGTCTTAAACCTCCAATGTATAAACCTGATGATCTTTGTTTGTCATACAATCCATTTTTTGAGGTATAAAGCTTTCCAAATAATTCCCATGGCAACTTTTCCTGGACTCATGGGGGTTTTGATGGGTGAACAAGGAATGTAAGTTTGTTACATTGGGATGGGAAGAAGATGGAGTAGAAAAGTGGGAGGGGTATCCCAGTCATCATCATTGTTTGCAGCCATTGAATTTGTCTGTGATTGAAGCAAGTCACTGACCTTTGTCTCCCAACCAACTCCCATGACTGCCTAGACTCTTACAAGTTTAGAGTGGAACCTCTTCAAGAAGAAACTGGCCATTTTCTCATTCATTTTGTCTTGAGAGTGTAGATCTTCCATCATCTGTTGAACACATGGTAAAACATTGGTGAATCCCAGTAAATTAAGAAGAACCAAACAGACCATCCATGAAAACCCAGTGATATAAAGGTCCTTAGGGGACGGTGCTTACAGACATGAAAGTTTATGATTTTGAAAAAAAAATCAGAAGGCAAAAGTAATTGCCTTATATGAATAAAGCTAAGCCATACAGAGAAGACAGTCAAGTGATTGTATTTATTACACTAGGAGGAATAGTGTTCCTAAAGGCAGTAGAGCATTCAGGGCAAAGTCATGTAGAAGCCAAAGGCTCACGGACAAAGGACACAGGTCATACAACCTCAGACTCAAGTGACAGAGGAAAGAAGACCTATCATTGTATTTGTGTCTATGTTTCTGTGATGCCCATTGAGGTCCTTTTGCAGAATTCTGGGATGTGCTGATACTGACCACATTTGCACTGAGAGGTCTGCTCTGGATTCAGTGAGTCTTTTAGCACTGGAAGCCATACTGCCATACCAGGGCCCTAAAATGCCTGCTTGAGAGGGCTCAGCATTGCTGAGTTTGGTGGTGGGCAGTCAGGGCCCTGAAACCTCTTGAGTAGTTACATTAGAACTTTTCCTATTATTAATCCCTCATCGGGCCCAAATATAAATTTGTACTCCAAAGGTCTTCATCAAGGACTCACAGAACAAATTAAAATGGGAAAGTTTTAAGCCTCTTTGAATGGTAGTCATCTGGGTGCATAACCTTTGATCAGAACAGGGAGGATGATTTTTGAGCTTCTGTGGAGTGTATCTAAAA